GAAGGGAAGTCTGGGCATATTATGAAGTTTTTCCCGGGACAGTTATAAATAGTGTGATGACACGCCAAGGAGAAGCATATATAAAAGTTAGCTGTCCCCTCTGTGGGTTACAAATGGTTGACTCATTGCAGACTGTCCACAAGGTTATAAATAAAGTCACCACTACCCTGGGTAAGAGAAGGGCCTCGCTCTCACCTTCCCAGAGCTGTACTTGCCCTCCTTGGGCCAAGACACTCATTGTGACCGGTAAAGAGAAATTGTTTCCCTGGGGGCCCTTGGTACCTGGCTCTCGGGCTCCTGCCTATAGTCAATGGCTTATAAAGAGTCTCCTGCCTTCTGCAGCTCTGTCCTATAGGTCATCCCACATGGAGGGTCCATGAAAAGGAGTCTGGCCTATTCCTACTTTCCTAACATGCTTGACACCACAGACACGAGTGCCCTTACGCATCTCCTCCCCAACATCCGGACACTCCCCACAGCCATGCGCCTGCCCCACAGTGGCTCCTGGGTCTGGCAGGAGGTGAGGCCACTCCCCAGGTAAGCCCAGCTGCGGCTCTGCCTTTGTGTAGACAAGACCTCCATAACCAGTAGGGCAAGGATCAGAGGAGCTGGAACAAGAGATCCTACCCTATCATTCAGGCTAGAGGCTGGGATGGGCTCACTGACCCCTATGAGTTGCTCTAAGGGACCCCATTCCTCTTTGAAGAGTGAATGGCCAGGGGACCATGCTCCCCTGGGCATGCAGAGAAGCCAGGCCTTTTCAGGGTGGCTTCCCACAAAGTGTTCAGAAGATGAAAGTATGACTAGAGATGAGAAAGAAAGCCATGCATGGGAAAGACAGGACAGCCAGGTAAGACGGTCATACCAGCTCCTCTGCCCATGGCCTGGGTGACCCCAGCAACAAGGCCAAGCAGGGGGAGTGGGCAGAGCAGAAGAGCAGGAAGTTGGTGGAGCAGGCAGAGGTGGGCACAGGATGGGGCAGGGAACCAGCTCTGTCTGGGAATTGAAACTCATATGGATTGTGAGGCCAGGGGTGGAAAAGTGGTGTGAGGTTGTGCAAAATTGGAAACAGAGCCACCTGCTGCACGAGCATTCCCCAGCCTCTCCTGAGATGACTCCAAAGCCTGAGGTCCCTGAGAAACAAGGTTCACCTGTGACTGGCCAGCTGGACAGACTGAAGAGGTACCAGCTCAGCAACCAGCAGGATGGCAGGGTGAGGTCCAGGAGGCCACAGCCTGGGGAGGACAGGGAGGGCAGGCTGGGCCTTGCCCAGCCCCAACTCTGTCCAATCTCGTGGAGATAACACAGCAGGCAGTGTAAGGCAACGGAGTGGGTGTGCCTCAAACCAGCTCCGGGAGAAAATAAAGAATGCCAAGAGGGACTCCCTAAATCCTCATTGCCCTACTCCTAACTAACACTAACATGCTAGCAACTATGTCACTAAGGTTTCTCAACAGGCTCTCTAGACCTGAGCATGTCATGATGTCTAAGCCCTCAGAGTAAACTCACCTATTAAAAACAAACAAGCAAACAAACAAACCCAGAGTCCCCATTCAGTTCAGGGGTAGTCCAGACCCATTAGGAGCCAGCTCAGGCCATCTCTGGCAGTTCTCTGCAGGGTGGCCTCGTGGCCCTGGATATAAGAATGAACAGTTCTCGGGTTATCTGAGCCCCACCTCAAACCATCTTCCTTCCCCTGTCATCGCCTAAGGCTTGTGAAGGGGGAACCAGGACAGCTCTGTTCCTATTTCTTACCTCCTCTCACTGGCTCCCTTTTGCATTAACTTTGAATGCACTTGGGGACAGGCCATGCTCATCTCAGGAGAGCCAGGCCTCCTGGTGAATTTCTCCCCCAGTAACAGATATCAGTCAAAGACAGGCAAACAGGAAGGCCACAGCTCCATGGGGGAAAGCAGAGAACTTCAGAGAGCAGCAGCTCAGGCACAAAGTTAGTCGTCTTCAATCACTTGGAGGGGAAAAGTGTGTCCCTCTCCCCAGGGGCCTTGGAGTGGGAACTGCCACCATCGGTGCAGAATTACCCAATCTGACTGGGGTGCCTGAGGTTACCCTATCCATCCTCCTGCTTCCAGACAGACAAAGCCAATCAGACACACAAAGTTCTCCAGCAAAAGAAATCATCACCCATCTCACCCGCAGGTCCGCTAACAATTCTGAGTGCTCCCAGTTGGTGGGTCTTCACCTTCACCCAAACCCTCTGGTCACAATAAAGTCAGTTTTCTCCACGAGGCCTGGTAACAGACGTTCACATCCCCTACAACAGACCCGTGTGGAGAGACAGTTTCCAGTGAGAAGGCCTTGTCCCTTCTCAGAACTTCTCCCTCCAAGATACAACTTCTCACCCCATCGACAAGTCCCAATCTGTTAAGGCCCCAACTAATTCTGGAGCCAGTTAGATAACAGGAAAAATATATTTCTTTTCCTCTCATCAGTATCATCATTACTAATAACAATAATAGGTTCGTTTATTGAGCAGGGCTGTATGGAGTGCCCACACTTGGCCTAACTCGCTTCTCCCCACTTGACAGCTGGGGAGACAGGCTCACAGAAGCTACATGGCTTGTCCAAGATCACACAACTAAGAGCGGCAGAGCTGGGATTCAAACTTCAGTCTGATTCTTTAAAGAAATCCTATTTGCCTCCAGGAGAAGAGAGGGATAGCCACCTTACCCCCTCCTGGGTCCACAAGGCCTGACATTGGAGGCACCCAGAGAGTACTTGTTTCATAATGACTCAACGTGCGGATGGATAGACGGAAGGACTGATGAATGAGTGAGCAGGTTAAAGTGAGCCCTGCTGATCATAACCAGCACCAACTCCAAGGTACACAGGAAGTGGCCATCTCACCGCCTGAGGCAAGCAAGGCCTTTCCAGTTGCCGCCCCCTCGGTGCTGCCATCAACCAGAGGGTCAGCAATTTAGAAACAGGTAAAGCCTCGCCCCTTGGATCACTTCACCCTTCTCCTTTCTCTGACTCTGGGGAAAGCCCTCTCCCTGAACACTCCATCAGCATGGCACCTGCTCCTGGCCCTCTCCTGCCCACAGCAACCCTCTCGTTGCATTAAGATAAATGTGCACAGACCGATCACACTGGGAACTATGTCTAAGAAGATTTCTGACCATTGGGGTCATTGAAAGGGGAGGGGCTGTCTTGCCTCTTCCCCTCAGCACCAGCACTTGGGCCTTCATCAGTTCCCCAGCAAGGGCTCCTGGTCCCCAGGAGGTGACTGGAGGGAGCCAGGGCTCTGCTCAGAGTGGCTGCCAAGCCTGCTGAGGGAGAGTCAGTTCTAAGAAGGCAGCGAACAGAAGGACCTGCAGACTCAGAGGCTCATTACAGGGAATGACTAAGTGAGCTGCGATTCCAGGGGAAACCCCACTTGCTTCTGCTTGCTGAGGGATTCAAATCCTGGGCAGCCCCCTTTGAGCAGCCAGGTTCTGGAGGGGAACCCTCCACCTGGAAGTCTTGGCACTGGCTACGAGGTTGTCACACAGGTCTGCCCCAGCCGTCTCCAGAATGGCCAAGTCTGCCCATCCCCTGCTTGAGCTCGAGGCTGGGAATGGGGGAAATCCGATCAGCACCTCCTAGGTTTTAGCGGCTGGATTTCAACAAGGAATGTGACAGTCTCGCAGCAGCTGTGCCCAGCCTGAAACAAGCTCTATTTGAAACCTCCAACAGCTGAACCCCTCCCAGCTACAGGCAGCCTGCCCAGCCATCCCCTGCCCAAAATGACAAATAAGTGAGAAATGCAAGCAACAAGGAGGCGCGCGCACACACACACGCACATACACATACACACACACACACACACACACACCAACAAATTGGGAGTGAGGAATAGATGGGAAAAAAATCCACTTGTCCTATGACTCCCCAGGTCTCCAAGCCTTCCAGCCCACAGCAGGCAGAACATGAACAGAGACCCACCTTCCTCAATCCCCACCGCCTAGGAGGACGCGAGTTCCAAGCCCCCCTCTGGGAGGGAAGCGGCCCTCGTCTCCCGCGGACTGAGAGGCTGGAGCACCCGGGCCGGCTCCCCCACCGAGGCGGGTGCTGCCCGGCTCCCTGGGCGCGCACTCACACACTCACACACTCGCGCACACTCAGCCTCACATATCCCCAGAGAAGCCGGGGCGGGAGGGGAGCACCGGGCTGAGCCAGGGAGCGGGCTCTCAGGGATGCCTGGGAAGCCCTGTCATCCCGTCTGAAGGAGAAGCACTACGCCCCCCTCCCCCGGGCTGGTGCCAAGGCGGTGCCCATCTGCTCTGCCCGGGGAACACCTGTAGCCATTTTTATCTGGGGATGTTTATAAGGCAGCGGCAGGTTTATTCTGAGTCCGCTTTCCTGAGGGAAAGAACCGCTGATTTCCTCCACCTATATTTTTATCCCAGGTCCCCGGGAGACTCAGGTCACGGGTGCTTTTTGGTTTTGCCCTAAGTCTCTCAGGAACGAGGAGGGAAAGAGAAACTTGGAAAGAGAGGGAGCAGACAGAGAGAGAAGGGACTGGCATGGAATCCCCACCCCCCACCCAGACATTTATTTCTTTTTTATCCTCAGGAAAATGGAGTGGAGCAAGGAGGAGAGGAGAGGGGGGGAAGTCACAAGAACTGGCAAGCACATCAAGGCAGAGTGTAATTAATTGGTGCGTTAAGCCGCTGGGTTATGCGTTAGTACCGGTGAGCCAGGAGGAAAAATGATTTCTCAGAAGGGATTCTTTAATCCTCTCTAACACGGAGTCTGCAAATTAGACACAGTGTATGGGGATGTCCTCTCACCAAGGAAACGAGGAATGAATTCTCCCAAGATTAAGAAGGAAAACCATGGGAAGTTAGAGTGTTCAATATAATTAAGCAATCGCCTCCCCCCCACCACCTCTCTCCCCAATCAACATCTCTCTCTCTTTCGCTCACTCTCTCGCTCTCTCACTCTCTCGTTACTTATATATTCCTTTTGTTCAAGGTATAAAGAGAAACCGCAGCCCCTACCTTTGAGTACAAACCCCAAGAGAGCTCGGTCTCTATCACCATAACAACAATTCCAAACATCCCAAAAATCAGAGCATAGTCACTCAGTCGCTTTCTCTTTTCAAACAGGGCCCTCCTGTGTCCCAGCTTATAGCCAATGTTTTGGTTTTTCCGCTTGTTGGCTTTGGGGAAGGTGGTGCTGCTGGGGGTGGTTCCGGCATGCTGGTGGTTGTGGGTGGCATTGGGGTGATGGAGCAGGGTCTGGTGGGCATGGTTGTCCTCCCGGGAGGAGATGATGATCTCTGGGGGGTTGCTGGGGCTGAAGAGCTGGAGGGGTTGGCCCTCAGGCTCAGCCTCGATGAGGTTCCTCCGGGAAGCGCTGAGGCGGCTGAGGGGCTTCATGACCCCACCACTGTACTTGCAGGAGCTCATGGCGATCTCTGTGAAGGGGTTGCTGTCCCGCCGGTGCACCAGGGGGCTGGCCTGCCGGTGCCGGCTGCCTCCACCAGGCCCACTTGTGGCTGTGGAACTTGGAGAGTGGCCAAGCAAGTGGTCATTCAGATTGAGCTGGCTGCCTTGCCTGGAGGAAGGGTGGAGGATGGCGGTGGAGTTGGACAAAGGGGGGGCCCTGAAAGCGGTGGGAGAGGAGTGAAGCAGGCCAGGGTGGACTGGCTGGCTCTGGAGTTGGGCGAGCTGAGACAAGGGATGCGGTGGCTGCTGCTGCTGTTGCTGCTGCTGCTGCTGCTGCTGCAGAGGCTGAGGCTGCAACAGGGGTCCCGGGGGCTGCTGGGGGGTTGCTGGTGGTGCTGGCGGTGGTGGTGGCTGCTGTTGCTGCTGCTGCTGCTCATCCCCGGAGGATGGACAGGGGCACTTGGGGTCTTCATCCAGGTCCCCCACCCCCGAGTCATGGAAGTGCCCAGAAGTGTCCATCTTGGGACCAGGCTGGATTCCCTGCAGCACAACCCCCCACCCCAAAGCCACCCTTGCTCCAGAGATGTCCTCAAAGAGAACCAGGCATCCAAGCTCCCCACCAGAGTGTCTTGGCTCCAGTCCTCTCTCTGTGGCTTGCTCCGCTCTCTGGGGCTGCTTGGAGTCCAGACGCTGCCAGTCAAGAATGCATTGTACTGGGCAGGAAAGGAGGGCAGGAGGGGAGCTTGGAGGAAGAAGAAGAGGGGGAAAGAACTCTGTCTCAGGAGGTGGTCCTCTATTAGCATGCGAGGCCAGGCTCAGCTTCACTCCTCGCTGGCTCTATAGCTTTGCTCTCCTCCTCCTGCCACTGTTATATTGTAAGCCCCGCCCACTTATTAGCAGCCGGTCTCATTGGCTTGGCTTAACTCTCCCACCACCTCCTAACCCCGCCCCCGCAGGCTCCTCCCAGGGGCGGGGCCTCCCGCCCTCGGCCCCGGCCCCTCCGCCGCACTGGGCGGGCTGGGAACTGTAGTTTGCGCTCCCCGCAGGGGAGCTGAGCAGCCGCCCCCTTTCCTCCGACAGGTAGAAAGCGGGGGCGCAGGATGGTAAGGGATGTACACGCACGCGGGCAGCGGGGAGGAGGAGCACAGGGCCCCCCAAGAAGGGGAGCCGCGCACCCTCATGCGAGGGCAGGAAGCGGGGGAAGACAGTTATTCATGGCCAGGATCTACGATAGGTGGTTTCACACATGATATCCCTTTACGTCTTCCAGACACCCCAGGAGCGTGCATTATGTTCCTACTTTGCAAACTGATGCTCAGAGACGTTGAGTAACAACCACAAGGTCGTAGATCCGGAAGGGATCCGCGTCCTTGTGACTCCAGGTGGATAAGCTCACCTACTGAACGCCTGCAGTCCGCGTGCAGGCGCCTGTTATCCCCAACCCCCACGTCAACCCTGTGAAAACAGCATTCTCCTTTTACAGACGAAAACCGAAAACCGTAAAAACAAAACAAAAAAATCACTCAGGCACAGATAAATAACTTACCAGATGTCACCCAGCTTGTAATTAAGGGTGCTGGGACTTGAACCCAGGTCAGTCTGACCCCACACCTCCTGTATCATCTCCCAGGTTGCCTTCCCACTATGATGCTCAGCACAAAGTGGTTGCTCCATAAATGTTGCTCAAATGATGGGTGGGAAAGTGCCAGAGAAAAGCTGTGGAGGAGGAACTAGACTCCCAAAGCAGGATGTGTGAAGTAGCCCATGGCCCCAGCTGAGCGTGGAGTCACCAGAGGGTCTGGCAGGAAGACTAAAGACCCCCATGATCACTCCCCACCTGATCTGCCCCATGGGGCTCTTCGAGTCAGAGTTGGGAACAGCTGCTGGCTACCCAGGTTCAGAACCATCATCAAGTATTTATTAAGCTCCCACTGTGTGCAAAGGGAGTTTGAAAGAGATGGGACCAGAGCAGAATTCATTTCCATTTCTATCTGCAGCAGGCCTGCTTCTCCATCACCCCTTAGCCTCTGTCCAGCTGCTACCTGGATAGGAAAGGGGAAGGGTGGGAGAGCCATGCACACACACACAGATACATGCATGCAGGTGCACACATGTACATAGGTGTGCATACACTGGCCCTCAAACATGCTTTGGCCCACATACATGGACATGCACACACATGTGCACACACGTGCACACACTCAGTGAGCGTCTAAAACAGCTCTCCTGAACGGTAAGCAGCAAATGGCCAGCTCAGGAAGGGGCAGAGCTCTCATCAAATCAGCCCATAGCACCCTCTGCATCCCAGTTCTCACCTCTTCAACCCCCTATCTGCCTTGATGATTGAGAGGTAAATATTACCTGTTATATAAGCACAACCCCAGAAACCTGAATAATTGCAATTACACGTAACAATCTTGATTATTGTTATTATTATCAATTACATAGTCATCCCTTCTCTCCCTTCCCCCACACTACACATCATAGCACTGGGGCTCAGACACAAGCCTGGGGTTCCAAGTGTTTTCCAATGACCATGCAGGCCCTCCAGTACCCCACCCCACCCCACCTCCCACACACACCCTCCGGCATGCCCTGCTTTTCCTCTCCTTCCCTTTGGTCTTCTTGGTTTCCCTCCCTCCATCCCCAAACACAGTCACCTGTTTGGTTTCAGTGCTCCAGATCACATACTTAGGCTTCATGATTTCCTAATAAATTATTGTTACTATGTTGTTAATAGCAGACATGTGCTGTTAGTATTGGTTCTGAGTGCCAGTACAGTATCTGGGCTGTGACAGACTCCAGGCCTGGACATTTCTGTGACCACCATAACCTGCCTCTGCCTCTGCCTCTGCTGGCCTTGCTGAGCCAGCCTCTGCCTCCAGTTCCTGTGGCTGTGCCAGCTGGATCCCAATGGGGAATGTTAGAGTAAGTCCCAATATCATGGATGGGCATAAGAAACAGCTGGGCATGAGAGAGGTCCAAACTATGCCAGAGCCAAAGATCAAAGGGAGATTCATCTGGAAATGGGCTGGAGCTTGACAGCTAATGCCACCAAAGCACCTCATGCCCCTGGATACAGCCACCCCACTGGAGTGGGAAGAGAGCAATGTCATGGTTACAGCTTGGGCTCTAGAGTCAGCTACCCAAGCTGGAACCCCTTTCTGCTACCCATTGGCTGTGTGGTCACAGGCAGGATCCTCAGCTTCCCACTCTATGAAATGGGAGCAATAGGGTCTCTACCTCAAGGGGTTTGGGAGGATTAGACGCAAGTCAGTGTGAGTGGACTCTCCCACAGGCCCATACATGTTGGCCTTGAAGCCCTCAGTGGTGTGCTGGAGCTGGCTGGTACTGGACATGTTCACCAAACCCAGTAAGGAGAAGGTAGCCTTTGGCCATACCAGCTCCATGTCAGCCAACTTGGCCCCTGCCCTCCTTTCCACACTCATTCCTCACCGCGTTCCTCTTTAAGTGCCAGCAACACCAGCTTCTTATAGTTCCTCCGTTAAACCAGGCTATCTCACACCTCCACGCTTTTGCTCATGCTGTTCCTCTGCCTGGCATGCTCTTCTCCTATATCCTCTCCTACACATTTCTTTTTGTCCTTCAAGACATGGCTCATGGGTTTTCTTTCTGGAAGGCACCAGCATGTTCCCCAAATCCAGATTAGGGGCACTTCTATATTTTCAGTGCCTGATGCTCACCTCAATTCCTATCTTTATCAAACAGTATAGCTGTTATCTCTGTGTGTCCTTTCCCCCTAGACTATGACCGACTTGAGGGCAGGAATGATGTCTGCCCCACCGCTGTATCTCCAGGGAGCCTGGCATCTAATAGATGCTTAATAAAGACTAATTGAACTGAACTGAACTTGAAACCTGAAGAGGTTATTTATAGGCAAGTAAGAGGAAGTAATAGTACTTTCCGCAACAAATAATAACCACAATTTCCCCATTCCCCATCAGCAAAATGAATGATATAGAAAAGCTGAGTCACTCAGCTTTAAAATCCCATAATCTGTGATTTGTGGAATTTGTTGCCCCCAAATGTAGAACTGACTAAAAATAGGTTTAAGAAAAGTAATGATATGTGGTTTATATGGCTGTCTTTCCCATTAGGCTATGAACTCCTTGAGCACAGAGAAGGGGTCTAATTTTTTTCTGTATCCCCAGCACTGAGCAGGGTGCCTGGTCATGGAAACATTCATTAAAGTTTTATTGGATGGGTGGGTGGGTGGATGGATGGATGGATGGATGGATGGATGGATGGATGGATGGATGGATGAGTGGATGGATGGATTGATAGATGGGTAGATGAGTAGGTGGGTGAATGAGTGAATGGATAGATGGATGAGTGGGTGGATGGATGAATCAGTAGATGGGTGGATGAGTATGTGGGTGGGCAGGAATGAATAGATGGTAGATGGGTGGATGGGTAGATGAATGGATAGATAGCTTTAAGATACAATAATAGGCAATAGTGGGGTTTTTAGAAAAACCAGTGGTGTTAAAGGGATATTCTTAACCTTGCAGGATAGACAGTATTATAAAGATCAACCACACCCTCCCTCAGACCCTGGATGGTTGGGTCAGAACTCTGGGCTGAAGAACTCAACAGCCCATCCAGGTTCAGTCATTATTGTGTTCTTATCTAGGAGCTTTGCTACTGGGTCAATTAATGTTTTAATAATAAAAACAACCCTTGTGTTTGCATAGCATTCTATAGTTTTCCAACCACTTTCACATAAAATGCTCCATTTGCACCTCCTCGCAGTCCTGGAAGGCAGGCCAGGAAGGTTCTATTGCTCCAGCCCTTACACTCTCACCCCAATAAACTAAAGTTTAAAGGTTTAAGTGACTCTCTCAAGGTACCAATTAGTTGTAGATTTAAACCTGGATCTGTCTGACCTCTAGACTTCTGCTCTTTCCCATTTGTGCTGCCTGGAACGCCATCCACCCCTTGCTCTGGGTCCAAGCCTACTAGAATTAATGCTGCCTCCACCCAAAGCCTTCCAGGCCACCCTTCCTCTGCTCTTTTCCCCCAATTTGACATTGTCTCCCTCTTCTGAATCCCCTTAGCACTGGATCTCTCTGGGGACTCTTCACCTCTTGCCTTGTACTGGAGTTGTCTGTGAATATGTCTTTCTCCCCTGCTTTTAATTTACACCATAAGCTCCTTGGTGATAGGAGCTTATGGTGTAAATTGTAAAACACACATACACACAGCCCTGCACCTCACCCTGCACCCAAACTGTGCATTGAATCAGTAAGTGAGTGAGTGAGTACATGCATGAGTGAGAATTCAAGGCACTTTGACCTGGACACATTGATCGGTCCTCACCAACACTACTGGTCACAAGGAGTGCTGATGGGTAAGTGTAGGTCTCCTGTCCATGCTTCTTTTGTCTGAGTTCCTGAATGTCCAGACCCTGGGGTGAAGCCTTTCATAACTAAAGCCCACCCACCCTTCCCCAAACCACAGTAGAAAGAGCAAGGCAGGGCTACAGCACATTCCACCTG